ATAGTGTAAAGCGAATAGAGCCTGCTGTTGAGCGGGGATATGAGCTATACAACTGCTATCTATTATTATTATTATTATTAAAATGTGGACTTCAGTGGATTGCTTGTTCATGACAGCGTCCTTGTGTCCAGTCTCGATGACGCGGCTTGTCTCCAGTTACTAGTCAAAGATGTTCTGGGGTTCATGTCTCTTTGGGCATCCTCTGTCACGTTTTCCAGGAAACTTGACTTACAAAAGAGTCTTCTTTCCAGACTGCTCTGTCTCTAAAGTTAACCAAATGTATGCCTAAACAAATGGGTAGCGGGGAAAGATCAGGGAAACGTAGCTTTTTTTTAGAGCATCCGAGCAAAGGAATGAATGGAAAATCATGATCGCCGATGTCTGTCGCAGATCTGGCACTAGATGATGATGATGTCTATTTTTTTTAGGCCTACATATTATTCTCATGATTTCAATAATAATAATTAGGATCCACTTTTCCTTTAATTCTAATACCGGTAATAATTCGTATGCCGTCTTCTGAGTTCATAATACCTACAGTAAGACTTCTATAATTAATAATAGGCCTATAATGCTGTATGGTCCTTTAGTTTTTAGTTTTAGTAGAGGTTTTACGGCGTTCGCCATTGCATAAGGTCATATGAGCGCCAAGGGGTGGGTGTCAAAGGAGAAGTCCAAACGTGGAATCGGTCTTACTCTGCTCACATCTCTAGCCTCAGCAGCACAAAAGTCTGTTTCGACTACCAAGGCGCCCCGGAAATAACAGTTCACAAGAGAGTGACAAACATACAAAAGAAGTATAGGGAAAAATTACGATAGTAAGGATGAAGAAAGAAAAGGCAGCAGTTCCCTCTATGTTGTTCTGGTGCAGTGGGAGCTTGACATTGGCAAATCAGCCAATTTACAATTCTACTGTGCATAAGAACGAGAAATGTTCCCACTTTAGGAATGGCCACATGACACTTCAGTCAGTGGCACTGCCCAGGAGGGGGGGGATGTATTGTCCCATGTGAGAAATACCCTTGTCAGTATGAAATCATGCAAAGTTCCTTA